AGGAGGATGGAAAGGAATTGCTGAAATAATTAAAAGAAGTGGAATACAAAAAGGGAGGTGTGAGGAGGTCGTGGAAATAAGTGAATGAAAGATGGGATAATGAAATTGGTTGATTTATTTTATTGTCTTAATCTTGTTTTGTTAATTCAATGTGTTGTATTGTATTGTTTTTCTTTTTCTTTCTTTTTTCTTTTAGTGTTTTTGGAAAAATAATAAATATTATTTTTTAAAAAAGAAATAAAAATATTGGTTGTTGTTTAGTCATTCAGTCGTGTCCGACTCTTCATGACCCCATGGACCAGAGCATGCCAGGCACTTCTGTCTTCCACTGCCTCCCGCAGTTTGGTCAAACTCATGCTTCAAGAACACTATCCAACCATCTCGTCCTCTGTCGTCCCCTTCTCCTTTTGCCCTCAATCTTTCCCAACATCAGAGTTTCTTCCAGGGAGTCTTCTCTTCTCATGAGGTGGCCAAAGTATTGGAGCCTCAGCTTCAGGATCTGTCCTTCCAGTGAGCACTCAGGGCTGATTTCCTTCAGAATGGATAGGTTTGATCTTCTTGCAGTCCATGGGACTCTCAAGAGTCTCCTCCAGCACCATAATTCAAAAGCATCAGTTCTTCGGCTGTCAGCCTTCTTTATGGTCCAGCTCTCACTTCCATACTTCACTACTGGGAAAACCATAGCTTTAACTATACGGATCTTTGCCGACAAGGTAATGTCTCTGCTTTTTGAGTTGCTGTCTAGGTTTATCATCGCTTTTCTCCCAAGAAGCAGGCATCTTTTAATTTTGTGACTGCTGTCACCATCTGCCGTGATCATGGAGCCCAAGAAGGTAAAATATGTCACTGCTTCCATTTCTTCCCCTTCTGTTTGCCAGGAGGTGATGGGACCTGTGGCCATGATCTTAGTTTTTTTGATGTTGAGCGTCAGACCATATTTTACGCTCTCCTCTTTCACCCTCATTAAGAGGTTCTTTTATTACTCCTCACTTTCTGCCATCAAGGTTGTGTCATCTGCATATCTGAGGTTGTTGATATTTCTTCCAGCAATCTTAATTCCGGTTTGGGATTCATCAGTCCAGCCTTTCTCATGATGTATTCTGCATATAAGTTAAATAAGCAGGGAGACAATATACAGCCTTCTCGTACTCCTTTCCCAATTTTGAACCAATCAGTTGTTCCATATCCCGTTCTAACTGTAGCTTCTCGTCCCACGTAGAGATTTCTCAGGAGACAGATGAGGTGACCAGGCACTCCCATTTCTTTAGGAACTTGACATAGTTTGCTGTGGTCCATGCAGTCAAATGCTTTTCCGTATACTTCAGTAGCTTCTTGGCGTGCCTGCAGTGGGCAGGCCATGCAATAACATGTAGGTGCTCTCCAAACAAGTTAACCCACCCAAGAGCAATTTCCATCTTCAGCTACATGAGTTAGAGATCACATTTTTACTACCCCCATCTGGAATTTCAAAAGCCCTTGGAATAGATAACATCTGGATTGAGTTCTCCTCTTGTTGTTACAGAAACTTCTTTTATTTAATATTATTTTAAAACAGTTTATTACTTCTCTGTACTATTTCATAATCTGCTCCTGGGCAAGAATGAAAAATATCTGAGGGAGGGAGAAAGTGTGAGTGTTTTCTGTGAAATGATGCTTCCACCAGCCAATGAAAGGAGCATTGACTCAATGGAAAGATGGAGGGCTCTCTCTCTCGCACGCTCTCTCCTTCCTTCTCTCTCTGTGCGTGTGCAGAGCACATTCATGGCAGCATAAGAAATTCAATTCAATTTGAATTTAAAGGCAAGTCCACAAAATTCATGCTTTCCAAACATTACACAAACCAAAACACAGCCATCCTTCTGAATTTGCAGTTCTCTGAATTTTGAGACGCACTTCTCCAGCCAAGTAATATACAAAACACATAGATGAGGTAAGGTGTACAAAAAAAATCATACATCTGTGAAAATATTGTATAAAAATGCACTACATATGGGAAAATTGGTTTGAGAAAATGTGTCTGTTAGGCAAAATGGAAAAAGAAAAATGTGTAGATTCAGATAGTGGGGTAGGAGAGTTGAAAACAATGCCAATAGAGCTCACATCTGGCAACCAATGTCCCCTTGGATTCAGATAGTACATGGGTAGATGAGTCAAAGAAGCCCGGGACACAAATTTTCTCAGCCCTCCAGTCTTGGGTGGCTCCTTTAACAGAATGTATTTAGTGTTAACTCTAGAAGTGTAGACTCAGTTCTGATCAAACTAAGTCTCCTAGAACCCAGAATACACCAGGAGGCTTTATTATGGTATGGTAGTGGGCATAGCTGTGTTGTAACTTTTGAATAAATGTAATAATAATAATAATATATAATAATAATAATAATAATAATCCAGGTTTGTGAAGGTGTAGAGCTGAGATGAAATGCAACATTATTAACCCTTCCCTTGTTCAGTCCATACTGGAGACGGCTCAAGATATCTTCAGGCAACTGACCATTTGCTGTCCTTTCTTGGTCCTGGGCCAAGCACTGGAAATGGTTGGTTTTTCCTAAATTTCTCCAAAGGAACTCAAGGCAGCCAATGAATTGTAATAATGAAAACAAGAATTAAAATGTTGTTTTTTATTTTTTTAAAAACCATTATTGGGCATGTGTCAAATGGGAGCAACGTATAGCAACCTCTGCTACTTCCTGGGAAAGCATGGCTCCCTTGCCTTGCAGGCAGGGCTGAGATTCAGGACCCATCTCAGCAAGCAAGGGAGCGAGGAAACAGGCATCTCTCCCCCGGCTGTCTGCTGTCTGGGTCGGCTCAATGTTGACGAACACTGGAGATTCATTTTCCAAGTCTTCTTGAAAGGACATTACGGGGAAGCCACAAACCCAACCCACCCAAATCCCTGCCTCTGGTTGGAGCAGCCCTTCAAGGGTTTCCAAAGGAATAAGTGGCAAGTGGCAGGGAGATGCCAAGTGTGGAAAAGGCCCGATGAAGACTTCAGAAATAACAGAGGCATTTGCAAAGAACTCACAATTCCATTCTTGTTATTTTACTTTTTCAAAATTCCATTTATAATATTTCTCTCACACACAACTCCGGTCACCTTTATTTAACCCTGACATTTCAATGAATTCCTGATCCTCCTCCTGGGGCAGCAGAGTAACCTCCCACCTGCTGGGTGCCCAAGTCCTCCCACAGCTGCTGAAATTCCAGAGGTCATAGCAAGAGGAATTTAATCTAGCCGCAAACATGTGCTCATACCCAGCTTGCTCCATAGTCTAGACAGTTTTCAGATAAAGACTGTCAAGGATGAGCTGGGCTACTTTGTCAAGGAGATAAAGGGTGAGATCCAACCCAACACAGCTCCTGCTGCACAACCTTTCGTGTGATGCAGGGCCAATGGCCCCAGACCAGATAGGAACACAGGCAGCTTCTGAGCTTCACAGAACTCTTCCTCAGGCTTAACCTTAAACAAGAAAGGCAGAAATAAAGACATGTCATTTTCTTGATGAATCACAGCACAGTCTCACTGGTCAGACATCATTGGGTTTGCTGCCAAAACCAAACGGGTTTTCTACAGAATGGTTTGTTTGTCTGCAAGGGAGAGGAAGCCTGGAGGCTCTTTGGCTCTGTTTGATGTCACAGTAGAACAGCAATAAATATTGGTTAGTTAACAATAAAAATATTGTGAAGACCTGTCTTAAAAGTACAATTTTAAAGAGATGTCTAAAAGGTGGCAGGGACAGTTTGTGCCAAATGTCTACAGGCAGAGAGTTCCACAGGGCAGGGCTTGCTCCCTCGTAAAGGCCAAGCAAACCTCAGGTGCCTGGAGGACCGCCAGAAGTGCCCCATCAGAGGAACTCAGAGTGTAAAGAATCTGATTGTCCTTAAGGTATTTGGGACTCAAGTTGTTCAGGCCTTTGTAAATTAGCACAAAAACTTTGCGCCTGTTTTGACAGCAAATCAACAGCCAGTGTCACTCTCTCAACTGCAGAGGAACACGTTGCCAGTAATTGGCTCCTGCGGCAAGCCCAAAGATTTTGGCACCTGAGGTTTACCGCAAAATCATGCCCCTCCCCGCGCACCAAGGATGAAGGGCAGAGGAAAGATTGACATCAGGAAAAAGGGGTAGAAGAAAAGTCAATCATGGGATATGCTGTCCCAGTGGATTCTGCTACCTGAAGTAGTTGCCTCACCTTGCCTGACCTTGCCCTGCCAAGAGGTAATCTGGCTACTGCATTCTTCCCTAGTTGCAGCTTCTGGACCAGATACAAGGGCAGCCCCACAGACAGTACGTTACAGTAATTCAGCCTGATGTTGGCATTGATCCGCCAGAACTGAACCCTCAAGTGTCAATCCCCCTGGAGCTTGGCCAACAATTGGCAGACTCCAGGGCTGCACTGCTGTGGGGAAAAAACCCAGTGGCAAAGGAAGCCTCTCCAGCACCTGGGGAGGGGCGCCGAGGGGCGGGGCAAACAGCTGGCAGCACATGCATAGCGCCCGTATGGAGTGTGCATGCGTGGCGCCCGTACGGACAGCGCTCAGCGGTAGCTTGTACGGATGCTGCGCATGTGATCTTGGCCGCTCTGCAGCTGGGGGGGGGCAGTGGGCCATCTTGTCACCTCCCCTGGGTTGCACCCCCCGCCCCCCTTCATACACCCCTGAATAAACCCCTCTTGAAATGGTCATGCTGTAAGATCTGGACTCCCTCCAGACAGACTGAAGGTGTAAATAGGTGAATAAGCCATAGTTCTTAAAGCTACAACAGTGTCTGCCGTGTCTTCAGTTCTCCAAAAGAGCACAAACCTTGGGTGAGTGCCTGGAACCCCCTGGGATCTCACCAACACTTGGCAGAGAGTGGGGGTGGTGCCCAAATCTTGTAGCAATATCATCTGATTTGACCCAGGATGATTTGGAGAGCCTAGATGGGTGGACCTAAATCCCCCAGCAGAGTCAGCCCAGCATAGGCACCATCTCTGGGAGCCCTGGAGGCCTCAACACCCACAGAACTTCCACTGCCTATTGGAGCAGCCCCAATCCCATTCCTACTTGCGTGCAAGCAGGAGGGGGTTGGGATCCCTCAGCTGGGAAGGGAGGCTTGCCGTTGCCTAACTGAGAGACCCCTGCCCTGCTCCTGCTTGCACACAAGTAGGAGCTGGGAGGCTGCTCCAATAGGCAGCATGAAGCCTCCCTTCCCAGCTTGGTTGCTGGGGTCAGGGAAGGTGGAGGCAGCCCGGAAGCTGCATCTTAGAGCCCCTGTACCACCATCATATGGGGACTTCCGAACAGCTCCTGAAGTCAGCCAGAGGCAACTGCTCCAGGCTGCTGAGACTGCGTTTCCCGGGGATGTTAGATGAAATCCGGGGACATTCTGGGGATGGAATTTGTCTGGGGACTTATTCGCAAATCCGGGGACTGTCTCCAGGAAACGGGGACATCTGGTAACAGTTTGCAGATGAGCTGAGGGTTAAGGAGGGCATGTATGAGAAATGGAAGAAAGGGGAAATCACAAAGGAGGAGCATGCATGAGTAGCCAACAGTTGCAGGGGGAAAGTCAGGCGGGCTAAAGCTCAGAATCAGCTCAGGCTTGCAAGAGAAGAGGAGGTTAAGGGGTGATATGATAGCCATGTTCAAATATATAAAAGGATGTCACATAGAGGAGGGAGAAAGGTTGTTTTCTGCTGCTCCAGAGAAGCGGACACAGAGCAATGGATCCAAACTACAAGAAAGAAGATTCCACCTAAACATTAGGAAGAACTTCCTGACAGTAAGAGCTGTTTGACAGTGGAATTTGCTGCCAAGGAGTGTGGTGGAGTCTCCTTCTTTGGAGGTCTTTAAGCAGAGGCTTGACAACCATATGTCAGGAGTGCTCTGATGGTGTTTTCTGCTTGGCAGGGGGTTGGACCAGCGGCGTAGTGTGGGTTGTCAGCACCCGGGGCAAGGCAAGTAATTTGCGCCCCCTAACCCGGGGCAAGGCAAGTAATTTGCGCCCCCTAACCCGGGGCAAGGCAAGTAATTTGCGCCCCCTAACCCGGGGCAAGGCAAGTAATTTGCGCCCCCAACCCCTAACCTGCCGCCGCTGCCAGCTTCTTCTTGCTGCTGCCTGGGCTGGGGTATTTACGGTAAGGTAGCCACGGCGGCGGCGGCAGGTCCGTGTCAGGTGATCTGAGGCGAGTTGCCGCTGGCGCTGCCACCTAGAGGAGGAAGAGGGCAGAGAGGCGAGGAAAATGCAACATGGCCCAGCAGCTGCAGCAGCAGCGGCGGCGGCGGGGCTGTGAGGAGGGGCTGCCTGGCGCGCACGCCCCCCCCAGATGTTGCGCCCGGTGCGGCCGGCCCCCCCTGCACCCCCCACGCTACGCCACTGGGTTGGACTCGATGGCCCTTGTGGTCTCTTCCAACTCTATGATTCTATGATTCTATGAGAGGTTTAAACAATTTTAAAAGGTTTATTTGACTATATTCAAAGCCAGAAGAAGAACAAAAAAGGGGTAGGTCCTCTGCGTGAAGACGCGTGAAATGATATTGGGTGACAGAGAGAAGGCTGGACTGCTCAACCTGGTGATAACAGAAGGAATGATGTAAGGAGGGAGCTGCAGCCCAATATAGGAAAAGAGAGGGAACAACGAGCTACTTTAAATGAATTCAAATCTCCAGGGCCTGATGAGCTGCACCCAAGCTTGCAGATATAATCGCAGAGTCTCTGTCAATAATCTTTGAGAATTCCTGGAGAACAGTTGAGGTCCCTGCAGATTGGAGGTCTGGGGCTGCAAAAGTAGAGGAGGAGAAGAAGAAGAGTTTGGATTTGATATCCTGCTTTATCACTACCCGAAGGAGTCTCAATCTGCTTTCCTCTCCCACAACAAACACTCTGTGAGGTGAGTGAGGCTGAGAGACTTGATTTGTCTACAAGAAACACATATAACAAGGCTACACAGGAAACTATTGATTAATAAAAGATTGGGACAAGAGTTTATCTCATCTGACAAAGTTAAAAAAAGAGGAGTTGTGATATATGCAAAGGAGAGACTATCACCGAAATTAATTTTTAAAGATGACCAAGGAAGATTCTTGGCAATTGAAATTCAAGTTCAAGAAGAGAAATTCCTGATAGTAGGAATTTATGCACCGAATGAGGGGAAATCTGAATTCTTTAAAAAGTTGCACGAGACTTTACTGGACTATTTGGAATATAATTTGATTTTGATGGGGGACATGAATGAAGTAGTATCTACAAACATGGATAAGGCACAAAGACAGGTAGTTACCAAGGATGGCAGACTACCGAAACCATTTTTTGAGATGACAGACAATATAGACTTAGTGGATATCTGGAGAGTAAAGAACCCCTTGGGAAGAGAGGGAACCTTCTTTTCTGAAGCCAAGATGACATGGACTAGAATTGACCAAATATGGATAACTAGAGGAATGGCACCAAAGATAAAGAAAGTAGAAATCTGCCCAAAAACCTGCTCCGACCATAATGCGGTAAGAATGGAGATGAAACAAATATCAACTGGATCCTTCAGATGGAGGATGAATGACACCTTATTTAGAGATGAAGAAGTATATAAAAAGGCCCAAAAAACGTTGAGAGACTATTTTGAAATAAATATGAACACTAATGTAGAAAAAGAGTAATCTGGGACGCAAGTAAAGCGGTCATGAGAGGGTTTCTGATACAACAGAATGCAATAAAGAAGAGAAGTCAGAATGAGAAGAAAGATAAAATTTTGGAGAAAATAAAAGAAAGTGAGAAGAAATTGAGAGCAAAACCAAAGTCGCAGGAGATTCTGAGAGAAATAAAATTATACCAAGTACAATACATGAAAATGATAAATCAGGAAATAGAATGGAAAATTAAACAAATGAGACAAAAAACATTTGAATCAGCTACTAAATGTGGGAAATTGTTGGCCTGGCAAATGAAAAAAAGACAAAAATTAAATACTATAACAAACTTAGAAGTGGAAGGAAAGAATATACATAACCCAATTGAGATTAGAAACTGTTTCCAGAGGTACTTTAAACAATTATACACACAAGGGCCACAGAAAGAAATGGACATAGACCGATTTTTGAAGACAAATGGATTACAAAAAATCTCTCAAGAAAGTAAATTAAAGCTGAACTAGAAAATATCTGAACAGGAAGTGGAAGGTGCCATTCAAAATATGCAATTGGGCAAATCTCCAGGACCGGATGGGCTGACTTCTAGATATTATAGATCTTTGAAAGAGTGGCTTTTGCAACCTTTGAAGGAAGTCTGCAATGAAATTTTGGAAGGGAAAAGGGCACCAGAGTCGTGGAAAGAGGCGTACATTATACTTATACCTAAAACAGAGACTGAAAAGACTCAGCTCAAGAACTACCGCCCTATATCGTTACTTAATGTGGATTATAATTTTTTTGCAGACATTTTGGCCAAGAGATTGAAAAAAGTATTGATGGAAGAGATCCATAAAGACCAAGCAGGCTTTCTCCCGGGAAGACATTTGTCTGACAATTTGAGGAATATAATTGACATTTTGGAAAAATTAGAAGTGAATATTAACACTAAAGCAGTTCTGATATTTGTGGATGCGGAGAAAGCTTTTGACAATATCTCTTGGAGCTTTTGAAGAAGAACCTACAGGGGATGGGGGTAGGCCAAGGTTTTGAAAATGGTATAGGTGCAATATACTCTGAACAAAAGGCAAAATTAATTGTAAATAATGTGGTGACGGAAGAATTTAAGATAGAAAAAGGGACACGACAGGGGTGCCCAATCTCCCCACTGCTTTTTATATCGGTCCTGGAGGTTTTGCTGAATATGATTAGAAGGGACCGGTTGGTTAAAGGTATACAGGTCGGAGCCAAACAGTACAAACTGAGAGCATTTGCAGATGACTTAGTAATGACGTTACAGGAGCCAGAATCTAGCACTAAAAGGTTTTAGAATTAATTCAAGAATTTGGTCAAGTGGCAGGATTTAAACTGAACAAGCTAAAAACTAAGGTTTTAGAGAAAAATTTAACACCGATTGAAAGAGAGAGGTTTCAGAATGAGACAGGTCTGACTGTGGTTAAGAAAGTGAAATACTTGGGGATCAACATGACAGCAAAAAATGGGAACTTATTTAAAGATAACTATGAAAAATGTTGGACGGAAGTGAAAAAAGATTTAGAAATCTGGTCAAATTTGAAGCTTTTACTGCTGGGCCGTATTGCTGCGATAAAAATGAATGTATTGCCTAGAATGTTGTTTTTGTTTCAAACATTGCAAATTGTGGACAAGATGGACTGTTTCAAGAAGTGGCAGAGAGATATTTCTAGATTTGTCTGGCAGGGCAAGAAGCCCAGAATAAAATTCAAGATATTAACTGATGCAAAGGAAAGAGGTGGATTTGCCCTGCCAGACTTTAAACTTTATTATGAATCAGCAGCTTTTGCTGGTTGAAAGAATGGCTACTTCTTGAAAATACAGACATTTTGGATTTGGAAGGTTTCAACAACGTATTTGGATGGCATGCATATTTATGGTATGATAAGGTCAAAGCACATAAAGCATTTAAAAATCATATTGTCAGGAAAGCACTGTTTAATGTTTGGATAAGATACAAGGATTTATTGGAAAATAAAACCCCAAGGTGGTTGTCACCAATGGAAGCGAAAGCTCTGAAAAGGCTCAATATGGAGGCCAATTGGCCGAAATATTGGGAAATTTTGGAACAAGATGGAGACAAATTGAAATTGCAGAGTTTCGAGAAACTAAAAATAAAGTGAGAGATTGGCTTCATTATTACCAGATAATGGAGGCAAATAATCTGGATAAGAAAATTGGCTTCCAGGTGGAAAAATCAAAATTAGAAACAGAACTGTTAGAACCCAAAACTAAAAATTTGTCAAGAATGTATAACTTGCTGTTGAAATGGAATACTCAGGATGAAACGGTGAAATCTGCGATGATTAAATGGGCACAAGATGTTGGACATAATATTATGTTTGCTGACTGGGAACAGTTATGGACCACAGGTATGAAGTTTACGGCATGTAATGCCTTAAGAGAGAATATTATGAAAATGATATACAGGTGGTACATGACCCCAGTCAAGCTTGCAAAAATCTATCATTTGCCCGATAATAAATGCTGGAAATGTAAAGAAACTGAAGGTACATTCTTTCACCTTTGGAGGACGTGCCCAAGGATT